ACACAGAGAGTGATTTGTCCAAGGTTAAGGAAGAAATCTGTGGCACAGTAAGGAAGTCCTATTAAATCTCTTGTCTCTTTGTCTTGTTCCTTAAAACCATTCTTCTAGGAGATTGATGGCAATTAGTCTCCATGGAACCATGACACCATTTAATGAATCATACGACAGGAAAAGCCTATCTCTGAAAAAAAATGTCTTTCCTGTTTCAATAGTATATTTGTAATGCACAGTGACAGGAGAAGACCGGAAAAAGGGACATTTCTCCTGAGTGGGTTGATTAATTAACATAGATTGCCTGAATTCAGTCCAAGAAGTCTATGCCAAGGAGGAATCCTTTACTGCCTTTCCTAACTGAGCTTGGAGCAGTCCCCCAAACACATTATCTCAATAGCACAGAAGGAAATCACGAAGCCAGGTATGAAATTGGCCTTTCTGAGCAATAAAGACATACTTGATGCAGATCATCGGCCGAAGGAGAGAAATAGTGTTTATCAACTCAGGAAATGGGGATGAGGAGAACATACAATGTAAACATTATCAAAACTAAGGATAGTTGTTTTGTCTGGAAGAGGTGTTTTACATGATTTCCACAGTTATATTGTTTCCTGTTTGATGAGAGATGATTCCGAAGTGTAGGCTTATATCCAAATCCCCAATTCGCTAAGGCTTAGAAGGGGTCAGAAATGAGGTTTATTTCACAGAGGCTCCTGCTAGTTAATAAATTCTACAAAGGTTGGTTTGTTAGGGACAGCTGAATGCATTGTGGTTTTTCCTTTTAAAAAAAATCATATCACAAACATTCTTTTGACTATAAAAAACTACTGGCAGCTTTTAAAAGTCAATATTAGACACTAGATAATGCAGAAGTTGGGAATATTATTATCTGAGTTTCCTAAACTATATAAAATAGATGATAATGGAAAAGGTTTGGGCAAGACTGCATTGCATCCATTAGCTTTTTCTACATAATCAGTATGGGTTGGTATCCATTATGCTCCACATTGCAACTCAGAATAAATTACTCAGTGGCTCCCAGAAACCCACATGCTACCGCTCTTTGGAAAAGTCCATTATTCTTTGGCAAAGCATTTCAAGACTAACCCAGACGCTAAAGCTTCTTGAAATTTTGTCCTTTCACTTAACTGTATTGTCTCTGTGCCATCCAGCATCATCTGCAATCTGGCACTCTATAAAACATCTCTCCCCTATCATTTTTGGCCCTCAAAAGTACTTTCTGTGTTCTACATTTCCCATTTTATTAAACTATATAATTTCTCCTCCAGATCTCTATGGAAAGGGCTAAGTACAACAGAGCTGAGTGAGGAGATACTGAGGTTAGTCACAGAATAAGAACATAATCCAAGTTGGAAAGGACTTCAGGAGGTCTCCAGTCCAAGCTCTTGCTCAAATCAAGGTCAGGTCTGAGGTCACACCAGAATGCTCATGGCTTTATCTAGTTGTTTCTTGAAAACCTCCAAGAACAGAGCCTGCACAACCTCTCTGGTCAACCTGCTCCACTGCCTGGCTGTCATCATGACAAAAAAGACTTTCCTGATATTGAGTCTGAATCTCTCTTGTCTCTCATCCTCCCACCATGCATTGCTGTGAAGAGCCTGGCTCTTTACGTTGATAACCTCCCTGTAGGTGCTGAGGGGCTGCTGCCAGGCCCCCCTGAGGCTGCCTTTTCCCCAGGCTGTACCAGCCCCTCTTCCTCAGCCTCTCCAGCTGAGATGCTCCAGCTCCTCGTCCTCTTTGGAGCCCTGCCCTGAACTAAAGATGATTAAGCTGACTTCAGCTATAAAGCCAGAACAGATTCATCAGTACAGCCCTGCAATCAGATGAACCAGTCCTGCAAAAAATGAGTGCAGTACAGTGCCAGGCCTTTGGGACTCAAGTGAGGCTCTCTCACAGCGTTGCACCTTCTATATATAATATGTCAAGTATATGTATATGTACACGTACATGTATATGTGTACAATAAGTCAGCTCTAGAATAATTTCATGACATGAATATACTGAACGGCATATGTGAAACATTATCCTAATGAAATCACTCAACTATCACAGAACCACATTTTTCTTTAAAATGATCTTACAGTCTTTTATACAGTCACTGTTAGTCAGACATGATGAAATCCCTTTTTCACATCCATTCTTGAATCTAAGCTATCTTGCTTGCTAACAGTAACAGCAGTGTATATGTGCAAGGACATTTTTCAGTGAATACTTGAAGCAAGAGATATAAAATACAGGGTCTGTATCTCTCCTACCCTCAATACAGATTTTGAAAAGAAAAGTGAATAGAAATGTGTTTTTTATAATGCGACTTCTCCCACTCCAGTTTCACCAGTACCTTATGATGTGCTTATCAGCACACAGTATATCTCAGGCTTGGAATTATAAAAAAAGGCAAGGGGGAAAGCATTGACTAGCTGTGGAAAGAACCCAATTCAGTAACCATATCAAAAGATAATTAAGTAAAGGAGGAGTATGAATCACCAAGTCCAACGTTAAAAATGTAGCCTACATTAAAGCCAATGGCAAAATCCCTCAGAATTTCAAGATGCGAGATCTACAAGTGAGGATTCATATACAGATTAGAACCCACTCTCATAGTGGGGAGACCCCTGGAGAAGGACTACTCTAAACCAGTATGTTAGACACAGAGGCCAATTGTGATACTCAGAGCTGAAATCTGCCAGCATACTCTCACTGAATAAGTGTATGTCACTGGACTCACAACTTTACTTGCCAGCACAAGTCTGACCTCTGTCAAGAGCCTCAAGTGTGATGTCCAATTCAGTTACTGAAATACACATTAAAATCTGGCTTATATGGTTAAGAAATAACAGTCACCCATTTTTATTTTGGGATCAGTCTCCCCAGTGTCTTTAAGGGGAGACATTTTCAGTCTATTCAGTTTCAACATTCACATTAATATCTTAATCTTGCTTAATAAGCAACCCTGAGCCAGAAACTGAGAGCTTAGTACAGTTGTTCTCTACCAAATATAATATATTAAAATATAATCACATTGAAAAAAAAGTTGTTACTATTTAAATAGTCATTGAGAAGCAGTTTATCTACTGGAGGTCTTCTCTGCACACTCTTCCCTGTACTCTTCAGGTATATCATTGACCAGGACGATTCCAGGGTACTTCCATTACCTACCATCAACAGTGGCAAAACTCACTATGCACTTTAATTTTGGGACAAAGTAATGTACACTCTTTCCAGTGATATCAATAGGTCCATTCTACTCACACTGAATGAGTGTCCTTCACTCTTCCCTCCCCTGCCTCTCCCCTCCTTATCCTCCCGTGCCAGGAAAGGAAGGAATTCTCCTTTTCCTGCTCAAATATCCAATAATCATTTCAGCCATCTGCTTCAATACAAGAAACTCCTCATAGAAGCCCATCTAAATGGCAAACCGTTAGAGATTAAGATGATTTATTTTAGTTTAGTGCAGTGTCACTGGTTTAATAAAATAAAAAATAACTAAGGATTTGGGAAATACTATGGCTTACTACCTAGGTAAAAACTCACTCTCTTGCCAATACATTCTATCGCTGCTGACAGACATTAGAACATTCCTTTCATCTCCTTCCTCTTCTTGCAGTTTAACCTATCCCCTTAAGGAGTATTTGCTTTCTCTAAGATAGATTATACATTGTATGCAACATGAAAACCTTACGTACTTTCTCTACCATCTGCAAGGCTTTTCTGCCCACTTCTTTAAAAAGAATGAAATCAAAACCCTTATTAGTCTTTTCATTTTGGATAAATAAACCAGGATTACTTTTCTGTTAGAGACTAAAACAAAAGGATTACTATTTCCAGATACGGGTATCTAAATTAGAGAAGCATTTTTGAATACAATCAACCAAACATCCAAGCAGAGTGGGACCAAATGTGGAATGCAAACTGTGATAAAGAACAAATATGAAGCATACACATACAGACACAAAACACCCCCTCTATTCATGCAGAAAATATGATCTAATACAGGACTGATTTCTTTCAAATAATTCTTTCTGCATCCCAGTGTGATTCCAGGATGTGCAAATTAAGATAAATTTTATGGGTCAAATTCTTCTTACCACTACATGTGCTCAAGTCAACTGAAATTGATGACAACTGGATGCTGTGTCAGAGGGTGGAATTTGGCACAGAAAATCACAATGTAAGGAGAATATGTTATAAAAATAAAAATTACATGGTGCTTTGAATGAAGGAGGAAACAATTCTCAATGTGGCTTGGGAGAGAAAAAAACATAGAGAAGCAAAAAAAGTTGACCCAATAGCTAGTAGATTATCAGATAAGGCTCAGTTGTCAAAACAGAGCCAACTGCAAGGATGTGAATGAGAATGTTCATAATGGCTCTGGACGAACATAACCCCATTCCATAACTAACTCCAATGGAAGTAAAGCTACACCAGCTCCACGTCCTGATGCACTTAGAGCTTAAAAGAGAAGAGACTAGTTTATTACTTCTATATTCTTTGGAAATCCAAAATAGCTATCTAAGACTTCATTATTGCAGAGCTTCACGTCTAATCTCATTAAAAGAAATGGTGTGATGAAGCCTTCAGTACGAACTTCCCTCCTCTTTCTTTTTTTTTTTAATAACAGAAATGTCCCTAAAAGAAGCCTGTGTAACTTGCAAAATAGACCTAAATCAAAAACAGATTCACATATTTATGTAGATGATTTAGCAGTAATATTTCTAGCAGTGGGAGTTTGCAAATATTATCAAATCCATGTTCATGCTTTATGACAACTGACCGATGAAAACCAGAAGCTATTCTGACACACATTTTAACCCATTTTTCTGCTACTGGAATGAATATGAGCACAAATGTCTTCCTGGCTAAACTTTTGTTCATTTGAGTGAAATGTGAAGATGTGTCATGTCCTCAGCTCAGTTCCAGAACTACTCAGGATGTCATGTAGCATTTAATTTCAAGCTCCATTTAGAAAAAAGAATTAAACATCTAACCTGGAACAGCTATCTTCCCAGCTGTGGGATGATTCATTTCCATCACAAGTCCATTGTGCAGCACCTAGAAAAAAAAAAACAAAACCCAAACCACGTATGTAATAAAATAATATAATCAGTTCCTAAACTCAAGAGGAAAAAAAAGAGATAAATATTATCATGTTCTTTCACAGAAAATCTGAAAATACAGGGAGCTACAATTCAAGTAATTTGCTTAATCTGCAAAATGAAAGCCCTGATGTTTGACACTACTCTCTATTTATGCACCTAAATAAATGCTTCAGTAAGACTTTAGATGTCTAACGTATCTTTAAGCTCTAATATCCAACATCAAATATAAGAAACTGAGCTGCAAGCATGTCATGCTTTCAACCACCAAAAGACAACTGGTACCAACATGGAATGAGAATTAAAACCTTCACCCACTTTCACTTTTAATCTGCAGTATGTATTGAAGGCCTATACATAATTTATGCTCTCTAGGGTTTTCTTTTCATTGTTACTCAGTTGCTTTTGAGCTCGTGATGGATCACACTGTGAAACGCTGTCTTAGTAGCTCCTACAAACATTCAGGAAAGATGACATAATTTTGATGTTATTTCTGTTCTTTCGAGTGGGTATGCCATGCCTTGAGAGCCTTGTGTATATCTGTATGGGATGATATTCATCACAATTTCCAGTTCCTTGTTACTAACATCAAGCAGAAAACAATGTACGATACCAAAATTCTCAAATAATAGAGAAAAAGAAATTCATAAGAGCAAACTCACTGCTATTGTTAATAGAATTCTGCACCAAAGCCAATAAGTAATCTTTATCATTTCCTTACCTATTATTCTGCCATCCTTCTAACACTGTTATCTTAATGACATAATCAGAATTCTTAAAAATTATTTATTTTGTTATTGAAGTATGCTCTACAAATAAAAAGCCTCCCATTAACCAATTATTTTTATTTCCAGTGTAACAAGTCTAGAGTGCCTTGCCAAATGTATCAGCTATAGAAAAGCAAAGATGGGCTAAGACTCTTAAGTGATCATGTAATACATCTACCTATTCACCTTGCATCACAAACAACACTAGCAACCTTGACTATTAATGACAGGTGTAGGTCTAATTATTCTTGAAAATTTCCAGTTAATGAGATGACAATTTTCTTATGCAGTCTGCACCATATTCTCTACTTTTATTATTAGAAATTTTTCTCCTAATACATAATCTAAGTATCTTTGCTCTGTATTATACATCTTTATTCTTGTCTTTTCCCCAACTGGACACAGAAAACCAATCACTAGCCTCTTTATAACATTCTTTTACATACTGGAAGATTGTAATCACATCCTCCCTCAGTCTGCTCTTTTCTAGACTAAACAAAACTAATTCCTTTAACCATTCTTTCCAGGTCAAACTTTGTGAACCTTTTATCTGTGTAGAATAGGATGCTTAAGAAATTCCCATTCCTGAACAGGTGGTGTCAAAAGGTCAGGTCAGCTTTCTCTTAGCTTGTGGGGTGAGCCTATTTAGCTGACATTTAGAAATCCAGATATTTCTGATAATAGATGCTGGTGGAAGAATGTCTGTTCACTGGTCTAATTGTTTGGCGCTGTACCAAATCATTAGTTCTATTTCTCTTTCAGAAGGTTAAGGCCAATTTTGGTAGACGTTCAAGTGAGACATCCAGAATTTTTTTCCAAATGATAGAATTGGAAAATATAATTGCTTGTTTTACTCATTTTTAGAATCTTTCCAGTTATTCCCTTAATCAAACAGTATTGAAAGTTTGGCCTCCTTTCTCCGTAACTTACATTGGCATTCTTTATGCATTTAAATGATTATTTGAGACCTGAATGAAAGAAAACATGCTTATTTGAACTTGAAATCAACAGCACACTCAAGTGCATAAGTACTTCTTTAGATGGCAAATGAAGGGCTGTACCTAAAAGTGGCACCATTTGTTTAAAGAAAAACATACAGATTCTCTAGCAGCTACTCAGGGCTCCACAAAATTCATGCCTTCCTGTGTTCTGGGTCTCTAAATTCTTATTCTAATAAGGCAGACTTACATTACTTTTAAAAGATTTCCTTTTGTTAGACTCCAATTCCATCTCCCTTTTCTTTACAGAATGAACTAAGAAAAACCTGCAGTATCTTTGAGTATCACCAATCTACCATTTATTCCCTTTTAAAAGAATTGCTTAAGATGCAGTCAAGCTTCCTTTCTGTTTTCATGATAACTACGGTGTAGATTTTCCCTCTCAAACACATTATTTTCTTGAAAACACCGCAATTACCATTACTCTTATTACTCTTATTTTCTACAGTTATTAAGCCTATATTGGTATACTCAGTTCCATCTTTTCTTTTAAAGAAAGCAGCCCCCAAGCAATGAATCTGGCCAAAGACCGTTTTTTTCCCCCACATCAGCAACACTGTTTGAAAGAACTGTGTCATTTCCTGTTTCACGTGTTCCATTATTAGGATTCCCAAAAAAGAAATTGAAAAAACAACTTCACTGACTCCTCCTCACGTGCATTCTAAAAACGGTGAAGGAAACATATAAGATTACTGCATCCTAGCCTTTGGAAGAATGCAATGTTCAGGTTCATTATCATCAAAGACAAGGAAAGTCTGAGGACAAAATAAGAGACAAAACTTGAAGGCCTTCTCTTCCATTGTCTTGTACCACTCAAATGGTCATAATCCTTCTGATGTGGTAGAGTCCACTATGCCCTTTGTATTCACCTTAGCTCAGCATAAGGAACTGATGAATCAAGAGAATCATGTAAAAGATGACGGCCATCAGTAGATTCATTTTTTAATTCTTTTTTCCATATGGCTTACTTTCCAGGCTAGAAATACTCTATTATTATATTATCTGTTACCATTTGAGATTTTGTGAATCAAATTAATGTTTGGGTGGCATTTTACACCGATTGTAATGAGATCATTGTAAGGAAATCAGAAGCAGTCTTCTGTCTTTCAGTAATAACCTTTTCATGACATTTCATTTTATTCCAAATACAGTCATCTTGTTGATTAAAGAAGGAACCTCTCTTGTCTGTCTACTGGTTAATGAAATGAAAACCTGATATCACCATTTTGTAATCTTATCTCAATAACAGTACTAGCAGTGTCCTGCTGTTATTTGTGACATGTTCAAGTAGGATTTTTTTTGTCCTGTTCATACATGTTTACGTCTTTCCTCCTGACACTTAGAACTGTAAAGGAAAAGTCTCTCCTATTTGCAAGAAAGAAGAAATTACACAACATGAAACAGTAAAAAAATCTCTGCATTCTACTGAAGTAAATAGAAGACAGGGTTGCTCTGATTTGTGCCATCTGCTATAATGATTCCTGCATCAACTTTTGCTACATAAACTTTTTAAAAAAAATTTTGTGTTTTCTTGCAGACTGGATTTGAAAAACTACATAGATATCATCTATACAATGCAGAATATATGTAATCCTCTATCATTAGTTGCTAATTCTACTTTGGGATTATTTATTTTATATGCAGACAGTATCAGATTTGCCCATGTTACAAAACCAAAATACTGTTTGTTGATGGATAAAAACAACAGAAGTCACTATATTTTACATTTATTTAGCCAGTATAGGTTACTACACGACTTTATTCAAACTACAGCAAATAGAACAATTCATATGATTATGTCTTCTAACCACAGAGAATAAAATAATTTAATTAAAAAATTACTTTATTATTATTTTCCCAAATGCAAGGAAGTCCACCTAGAATCTTTAAAGCAAAGATCTTAACGTTTTACTTGTGTCATGCAAACCAAGGGTAATTTACTATATTTCATCATATATATTCTCAGTTCTTTCATCATTCCCTCTTAGCTTGTCACGAGAAAAACTATGGAGGATACTTACATCAGCTGCTATGAAGCTTACAGAAATTGAGATATAATAACTTCAATGATTAATTTTGCTCTTTTCCCTAACCTTGTTAATAACTGCAAGTTAAAAAGTGGTTAAAATTTTTATAACAGGCAGCGTTAAAAGCCCTTAGCCATCTGCTTTCACAAGGAGGATCAAATATTAACTCTAGTTATTTCTTGTATTCTCACCTTGTTCAAAACAATTATTCAACTGACACTACTTTTCTGCATTAATATTTATATTACCAGTGGGCATGTTCAGTTGAATACTGTAATTTTTCTTTCAGTATTTGAGTCTCTTTTGAGTCTCACTTAAAAGCTAAGTAACATACAAAGAAGAAAATGAGAATAAAATTAACTTCAAAAGAAATATAATTATGATATAAAAATACAATATGGCTGCAGAAACAATTTTAAATTTCATCTTCATCTAAAAGACTTGCAAGGCTGAAAATCTAGCTACAAACAGGGGTTTTATCTTTGACTGTTTGGGAGTTAAGACTCATTCTTTACAAGATCATACGGTACATGCAGTGGTGCAAGACAATTTTTCAACTTTCACAGATCCTTCAAGGAAAAAGGTGAAACTCTCATTTTTCTACAACTGTACTGTTCTTTAAGGTAGTAAGACATACAGACTATTAACGCGTATGGTGGCTTTCTTTAGGACTTATGTGTGAGTACCTATTTACCTATCTAAAAAACAGCTAGAAAAACTATCACCATGCAGGATATGGCTTCAGGATGATTTAAAGGAATCTGTTTTTTCTTGGACACTGCATAACTTGTAAGAATATCTAATGTCTGGTGATAGGTCCCTTAATTGATAAATACAATAACAATACATACACAAAAGGGTTCTTTCGATAAAAAGATTATATAGCAAAGTACCAAAAGCTGTGAAACAGAAATTAATCATGAATATTATTATTAATTAGCATTAATTTTGCTCACATCCCTCAAAAATGAATGGTTCTTACATGCTATGGAAGTAAAATACTTAACTGTATTATTGCTGCAGCAGCACAAATGGCGGGCAGGAGAATCAGAAACATTGTTTCTGCCTTTTTTCACATGGATAATGGGGTGTTTGTCCACCTAGTAAACATCTGGCAAATTCTGCAATGACCATAAGGTTCATTTCAACTGTAATGTAACTGAT